CAGTCCTCTGCTAAATTGGCTACGAAGATCTAAAGTCTCTCCCGTGACTGTAACATTTTTGGTGCCGATTGTGTGGATGAAACAAAAGAGAAACAGGATTAAATAAGTGTATTGTGTGGATGAATAAACGAAAGTCTTTATTAAATTATTAAAAAAATTAGTGGAGTTAACGAAGAACAATCTGCAAATAAAAATTCTAATCAAGTGAACAAAGGCCGGATCAGCTTGCGCTAAGAATAAATCAATTAAATCAGTGAACACGACTCGAATACGTGCTGTGTTGAGTTAGAAAATTTGAATAAGTGAACAAATTCTGGATCCGTTCTGTGCTAAATTAAAGTTGCAAAGACAATAAAGAATCGGAGAATATATTAGTAACGAACGATAAAGAAAATAATTCGACGGACGGACGAACGTACGAACGAACGAAATAACGAACGAAATAGCAAATTAAATAACGAACGAAGTACAAAGTAACGGGTGAATAAATAACGAGAACCTAAGAATAGAGTAAGCGATAAGGCGAATAACAAATTGGGAATATAGACTTTGGCATTATGAATACCTGGAGATATACAACGAATCAAATATATGGTAATAATAAGTGTCAAGAATATGCGGCCCCTATGCAGAGTGATAATAACCCGTTGGAAGATGCTACACTGTCGGCCAATCTTAATTCTCCAATGAATCAAACTCATGTCGAACAACTACTTCAATCTATGATCAACGTTATGGCAAGGCAACAAGGATCTCAACCTGACACAGGGGAGCGAAATCTTTTAAACATTCCAGTCTTCACGGGTGATAACCAAGACCCTATAGGATGGTTGGAGATGGTTGATAGAGTGTTTGAGGCCAACAAGATAGTAGGGATACAAAGGCTTTCGGTAGTTGGTGCTTACTTTTCAGGACTTGCGGCATTCTGGTGGGAAGACCAACGAATAAAAAGGCCGGGTCTTCAGTATTGGGATAATGACTTCAACCCGGAGCAAAGCTTTGTACACCAGTTCCGATCAAAATTTTGTACACATGCTTTGACAATCCAGTGGAATGCGGAGCTAGTAACACGAAGACAACAAGTAGGTGAGACGGTAAATCAATATGCAGCAGATATGTTATCTTTATTTCACCGAGTCATGAAAGTGGGTAATCAATACCCTGAAGGAGTAAAAGCACAGATGTTTGTGCAAGGTCTCCGTCCTGACTTGTCTGTAGCTCTTAGTCCATTTATGCCCGATACACTTCAGGAAGCTATAGATAGGGCGCGAATATGTGAGATGACATTTGCACGAGGCCTGGCAGTATGTGGACCTGCAGCAATCTATAACGCAGTGTCTGGTTCTTTGTTTCAACAATCGTATTTGCAGCAACAATGTGCATTACCATCATCACAGGCTTTACAACCCCAAGTATCGGTACAACAATCGATGTCATTTCAATCACTATCACCAATATTAAAACCACAATCAGATACGATATCTCAAGACTCAATGGGCCAGATGATATCTTTGCTACAAGAGGTGGTGACAGCAGTGAAAGATGGTAGAAACAATAATAACAATGGAGGTCGTTCTGCAGATAATAAGAATAGAAGAGAAAGAAGTGGCCGTGGACCTACCTGTTTCTCTTGTAAACAACTGGGCCACTTTGCAAGAGAATGTCCAAATGTGATTCGCCATGTTAATGACAATAAGAATGTTCACCAAATGCCGAATTTTGATAAGGACTGCAACACGATGAATAACAAAAATTTGAGAGAACGGTATGATCTTGAACTTGATCATAAAAATAAAATGAAACATAATAAGGAAAGTTGCAAACAGCAAAGATCGTTAAGCCAAACCTATCTGCATTGTGAGTCTTATCCTATAAAAGTAAGGAAAAGGAAAGCATTGGAATGTTATAAAGAATTTGCAGAAACGGTTGATGCTGATAAGAATTATGAGGATTATTGTTGTACTCGAAATGTGAAGAAAATTAGGCATGATGTATACGACTATCATCAAGAATTCGGTAAGAATCGGTACAAGCCGTTTGGACGATATTTACGATCCAAGAAAATCAGTAATTTGAAAGGACAATACCAAATGGAGTTGTGCCGTAAGAATACGATTGAAGTTCAAAATGACGATTACAAAGTACTCGAATGCCATTTGGACCTTAATAAAAATGAAAATTTGAAAACGATTGAACACCAAAATTCGGACGAACGTTTGGCTCTTATGGATTGTGTTCAAAATGAAATTGATGATAAAAAGTCTGTGGAAATGCTGATGAGGTGTTTGATTTTGAACATTGTTATGATAATGGAATTGGAGTAACGAAGGATGATTATAAAATAGTTGAAGAAAATATAAAGTACGGTCAAAGTGAAAAATTGTTAGAAGATACGTTTGAAGATGGTAACGACGAATTGGAAAAAAAGGTAGAAAGTAGGATAAAACGAATTAAAGAGTACATGGATAAAGATGTCGAGAGTAACGATCGAAACGATTCAGTTTGTACGAATACAAAGAGCGAAAATATAACCGAAGTTGATAAAAGCAAAGAGATGGACAACGAAGTTAGTGAAAATAACGATACAACAATTCGAACGAATAACGAAGAGAAAAACTTACCTCCGATAAGTAACAAGCTGGCCCCGGAACTCGAATGCGCAGATGAAATACCCAAAGATAAAACTGTTAAAGATGGGTATGAGTCGTCTAACACGAATACAACTGAAGAGTTTCATAACAATTCGAATAAACCATACGATCTTGGATGGTGTTATGAAAACGCCAAAGTCGCGGATATGGATAGGAAAGAAATTCTCAAATCGGATTTGAAAGCTGAACAAGATCACGGTCATGTTGATGAAAGTGGAAGCCAATTAGCCAAGCCTGTCAAAAGAAATTACTTCTT